AGTGACTGAGTCGATTTGGATTGGTTTTGGATGGAAATGAGACATATAGTCTCTTTAAGGAAGGTTTGTATTAGAAAAGTCAACCGGATGTTGACTTATGAGTTAGAAGGCTCGGATGTGATTTCCGGTGATTTGGTTAGCTTCGGGGGATGATTTGTGGCTTAGGAGTGTGATCGGAATTGATTTTGGAGGTCCGGTGTAGAATTAGGCTTGAATTGGCGAAGTTAGTATTTTGGCGAATCCGGTTGATGGGTGAGATTTTGATCCGAGGGTCGGAATGGAATTCCGAGAGTTGAGGTAGCTTCGTTAGGTGATTTTGGATGTGTGTACAAAATTTCAGATCATTCGGAGGTGTTTTGGTAGGATTTTTGATCAAATGCGTAATTCGGAAGTTTTAGAAGAACTTAGGCTTAAATCCGATGTAATTTGATGGTTTTGGTGTTAATTGTGGTGTTTTGATGATTTGAGCAAGTTTGAAGGATGTTTTAGGATGGGTTGGCACTTTTGGTTAAGGTCCCGGGGGCCTCTGGGTGATTTCGGATGGCCATCGGGATGATTTTTGGACTTAGTAAGATTTGCTGCAGGTCTGGTATCTGGTATTTCCGCACCTGTGGGAAAGGAACCGCAGATGCGGTTGCGCAGGTGTGGGAGGAGGTTCGCTGGTGCGGTCTATGGCTTGTCTGGAGGGTTCCGCAGATGCGGAAGGGAAGCCACATGTGCGAGGCCGCAGATGCGGTAGTTGTATTGCGGAAGCGGAGGCGGGTGGATTTGGCATTTTCGCAGAAGCGGACAATAACCCGCAGGAGCGAGGTCCGCATATGCGGTAGAGGACCGCAGAAGCGGTCGTGGTCTTTAAGTGTGGATCCGCAGAAGCGGAAATTAACCGCCGAAGCGGTAGTCGCAGATGCGGTGGTGGGACCGCAGATGCGAAAATCCCTGTTATCAGAAGGGTTTTAAGGCTCATTTTGTTCCGCGAGCTTAAGTCCATTTCCACCATTTTTGATCGACGTTGAGAGCTCTTGGACGGAATTTGAAGGGGATTTCGACTAGGTGTGATTGGATGTGAGTTCCTTGGCCTAAATACATAAATTAATGGTAGAATTTACATGGAAATTTTTTGAAATTCAACAAAAGAGGGTAAAGCTAGGGCTTGGGAATTTGGTGTTTCAAAGTGGAATTTGAGGGGTCAAATGGACTCCGTTTTGGTAAATTTGATATGTATAGACTCGTGGCGAGATGAGGAATCCGGTGATGTCAATTTTCTGATTTTTCGATAAGTGGGCCCGGGGATCGGGTTTTGCCAACTTCATGAATTTCGATGTTTTTCGAGTCTTTTCGATTGGGTTATTTTCCCTTAGCCTATTGTAACGTATTTGTTGTGGTTTTGGCCAGATTCGACGCGCGAGGATGTTGATTTGCGAGGCAAGGGCATAGCGAGCTAGGACTTTGGCCGGCTTGAGGTGAGTAATGGTTATAAATGATGTCCTGAGGGTTTGAAACCCCGGATTTGCACAATGTAGTGCTATGTTGAGGTGAGACACACGCTGCATGATGAGCGTGGGGTCCATTATTGCTGGGGATTTGGACTTGGTCCATCCCGATTGATGATTCTACTGTATTTCTGACTGAGACTTAAATTATATCATTATAGTTTGGGCTAGTTGCCATGATTGGGGCCTTGTGCCGACCTGTAGAACCCTTAGGGGTAATTGTACATGATTGACCTCACTTTACTCGTTCAAATCATACCCTCAGTTGTGTTTCTAACGGTTTAATCTAATATGAACCGGTTTTGGAATAACTAAACCAAAAGGAGAGCGATATGTGGGCTGGGATCCCTATCTTATCTTAGTATGCCCGAGAGGCTAAGTTTATAGTGACTGAGAGGGGTTGAGAACCCCATAGTGAGGGTATTTGATATGTTATGGATCGGGCTGCACGCCGCAGCAGTATATATTTATATGGATCGGGCTGCACGCCGCAGCAGTATATTATTGGATCGGGCTGCGCGTCGCAACAGCACATTCATATGGATCGGACTGCATGCCGCAGTAGTATAGCGCTTGGGCTGTAGGAGCCCCTCCGGAGTCTGCACACCCCCAGTGAGCGCAGTCGACTATTATTATTGGGTCGGGCTGCACGCCGCAGCAGTATACCTAGTGGACGGGCCTGCAATAGCCGCACGCGGTATAGATTTATGAATTTTCGGTTATCGTGAGGAGTAAATGAGTTGAGTCACTGGCTTAAAGGATTTTTACCTGACTTCTTCATTCATTGCTGTTTAATGTTCTTACTGCTTTGATATAGAACTGCTTAGTGCTTTTTACGAGATTTCTTTCCCGTCAATCATTATTTTGCTATTACTCACTGAGTCGGAGTACTCACTTTACTTCCTGCCATGTGTGTAGATACAGGTATTCGCGGAGGCGTAGATTGAGCTATTGCTGCTTTCAGATCTCACCGAAGTCATCGAGGTATAAATGCATGGCGTTCGCATACCGATTTCTCCTCTATCCTTTTACTTTCAGCATTTTTAGACTATCTTTGTTTAGGCTGTTCCCTCAGACTTGTATTAGAAGCTCTTGACTCGTGACACCGATCGTGGGATTTGTAGTGATATTTCTTAATTCCGACAGTTTATCTTCTGTTACAGATTTATAAATCATGTTAATTTGGTATTTAAACCTGTTAATTGGTAATGAACTCTATATGAGGGATTGAGGTGGTTGAATTGGTCGGGCTTGCTAGCACTGTGTTGGGTCGCCATCACGACCTCGGGTTGGGGTCGTGACAAGTCTTCAACCTTCAACGTACTTCCATCATTTTTATCAAAAAAGTTCCCGGTATTCATCCGGAGTCCCCAAAAATCTCTCAGAGTTTCATCATCCTCGATGTTTAAACTCAGCGTAACAAGCAACCCCTTGCGGAGTCACAGATACTGGATATCTTCAGGTTATTTTATGATTCGCCGAACGTTTGCTCAACCTCATTTTATTGCATACAACGATAACCAGTCTATCGTATCCATTGTAAGTGGCACTTAACATGACTCTGTGGAGATAAACTATGATCAATGAGTTATTCGCCACCACAACCTCACCCCCCCCCCCCCAAAATAATGAAACATTTACTTTTCGCTTCAAATTTATCGACGAAGTTGGAGTAATTTTTGAATGATTTTTCTCAAACCTTAACGCATTATTATAAGGAAATCGCAAATCACGGGGGGGGGGGGGGGGGGTCAAATTTTTTGGAAGTAGAACGCAGTTTAAAAGGGCGTTTTACAAATTTGAATTATTGTTATGTCAGTTAAGCGCATAAGAGTTATTGGTGGGCCCAGTAAACATGTAAAACGTGGTTTCTTACTGCGTTCTATATAAAAGGCAGTAATGAAACGCGCTTTACATAGCTGTCTTTTCAGCTTCCAGTAAAGCGCGGTATTCAACTGCGTTTTATATAAAACGCGATAATGAACCGCGCTTTACCTTAACGTTCCAAACGGCCGTTAAGGTAAAACACGATTCATAACCACGTTTTATATAGAATGGTAACTTTTTGTCTTTACATTCAAAAAAGGGTTTTGAGTCCAAAAGAACCACATTCCAAGTTCTGGACTCTGTCAATCACCATGGCGGTCCTACTTCGAACATTTTCCAGCTGTGGGCATAAATTAAAAGTCCGGCAAGCAAAACAGAACCTCTGACGTGGCAAGCTCAAACCAAATCACATGGAAATCTGGACCCCACTAGATTATTCGTCGTCCCACCCACATGTTGGGTCTTCTTTAGCCTTTTGATTTTTGAATAATACTCTATGGAAAGCAAAAAAGGAAGACTTACTCGGATCTGCATCAAATCATACAAAACTTATCTTAGTCTTAGCCAATTGATAAATTAATATTAAAATCTAAATAAATAGGAATTAATTAGTTGGGTTAAATGACATTCCCTGCATAACAATTTCCCATCGTGCTACTCCATTTGAAATGGTCGCATTTCTATAATTTACTTCTTTATTTTTAATCGTCTCATTTTACCCTTAAACACTATTTTAGAAGGTGTGGGGGTAAGACGAGGCATTTTACTTATGTCTCACCGAGGCGTAAGTCCCGAGGCACGGGGCATAAGCCCCATATATATTTAATTTTTAATATTTCATAAAATAATATAATTACAGTAAATATTTGTAAACATGTCAAAACAATCTATTATATGCTACTTACAAGCACAAGTAACTTGAGTCTAAAAGAATAAAGTTTTCTACATGGAGTAACAAAAAGGATGACTAACCTGCAATTTGAACTTTAAACTTGATGCTATGAAGAAGAATGGAGTTCTCTTTGTATTTGTAAAAAAAAATTAAATATTCGTTGCTTTTGGGAGATAGTCGTAGACAAGATAAAGAATTAGAAAAGACCATGACTTAGGGCTTCAATCAATAAAAGAGGTCTCTTGCCTTTTAAATTCAATACATTTCAGTTCCTTTTTAAAACTTTTGATTAATTACCGAGTTGACTTTTGAGAATTTGGGTATTATATGAATGACTTATTTAACAAATTTTATTTTAATTTGAAAAAGTCTCTGGGGCTTACACCTCACTAAAAAACATGCCTTAAACGCTCAAGCGTATGCCCCGAATTGTTGGGCATACGCCTCTTGAGACTTTCGCCTCACACCATCGCCTCGGGGCGTTTTTGGTGCGCTTCGCCCCGGGGCTTACCCTAAAAATGCCTTTTAAAACACTGCCCTTAAAACACTCCTTTATAAGAATAAATTAATAATATTTAAAACCACAAAAGTAAAAAAAAAAAAAAAAAAACTATAGGACAGTATACAAGGATGTAGTTTAAGACCACATAATTTGAAGGTGTTCTTTAAGTTGTGTTTAATCAAATAAAAACATATAAAATAAAATAAAATAGAGTAAATTTAATTAGATAAATTAATGTCATAATTATTGCTATACGAATTCAAACAAGTACATTCCTCCTTATATAAAGCTCTCACTCGTCGCTCATCGAAAACATTCAAACTTTTCTCACGATATCTCTGTCTTTAGCCAATTAGAAACAATGGATCAGAGAATTATACTTGCAGCGGCTCTCTTGTGCATTGCGGTGGCCGGTGTCACAGCTCAGTCCCCTGCAGCTGCTCCAACAACATCATCAAAGCCTTCTTCTCCTCCGGCTACATCACCTTCTAGTAATGCCACACCTCCCTCAAAACCTACAACTCCTGCTCCCGCTACCTCACCAGCTACTGCTCCACCTACCCCTACCATCATTTCCCCGGTGAGCTCACCACCAACCGCGGTTCCAGTGAGCTCACCACCAGCTAATTCTCCACCAGTTGCTGTTCCAGTAAGCTCACCACCAGCGGTGGTTCCAGTGAGCTCGCCACCTTTCCCTGCTCCAGAGGTAGCACATCCACCAGCTGCTACCTCGGAGACTCCAGCTCCTGCTCCTAGCAAGAGCAAGGGCAAGAGCAAGAAGAAGGGTAAGCAGAACAATGTATCTTCACCGGCTCCTGCTCCTGAGCTGATGGGACCACCCGCACCTCCTAGCGAAGCTCCTGGACCTAGCCTTGATTCTGATTCTCCTAGCTCATCTCTAAACGATGAGGTAACAATCTTAGACCATCCTCTTTTTAATTTTATCTACTCACATATAATTTCAAAATGCACAGGTTATATAGCTAGTGGCTAGAGCTGTCAATATGGGCCGGGCCGGGATAGTCCAGTCCAGTTCATATGGGCTTTAGTAATTGACGGGTTGGGCTGGGCTAGCCCACCATTTTGATGGGCCTTATAATGGTCAGTCCACTCCAGCCCTATGTGGGCCACGAGCACCCACGGGTTGGCCCATCATTTTTAAAAATATAATTTTATATTTTTTCTTTAAGTTCTGACCTAAAAAATAATAATTATTTAAAAATTAAAAATATATTATTGGAGAAAATTCGCAAAACTTATAGCCTGTTTGGCCAAGCTTTTTTTTGGGCCAAAAGTATTTTTTTTTTTTTTTTTTGCCAAAAGCACTTTTGGCCAAAATTTGAGGTGTTTGGCCAAGCTTTTGGAAGGAAAAAAAGTGCTTTTTAGGAGAAGCAGAAGCAGTTTTTGAGAATCAAAAAAAAGTAGCTTCTCTCCAAAAGTACTTTTCTGAGAAGCACTTTTGAGAAAAATATACTTAGAAGCAGTTTTCAAAAGCTTGGCCAACTAATTACTGCTCAAAAGTGCTTTTCTAATTAATTAGCCAAACACAAACTACTTCTCACCAAAAGCACTTTTAAAACTTTTGAGAAAAGCACTTCTCAAATAAGCTGATTTTAGAAGCTTGGCCAAACGGGCTATTAATAACTTTTTATATTGTTCCAATATATCACAATAAACACTAAAAAAAAGTAAAAGACAAGACTATATTTCATTCACTAAAAGTCAAAACTCAAAACAAACTATTCAAGAGAATGTTCATGATGCTTATGAGATATCCAACACATCAACTTCATCAAACACATTTGAATCCACTTGTGACAGGGTTGTCTTAACATCTTCAATTTCATCTACATCTACAATTCATATGCAATATTAATTAGTGAAATATTAAGAATAATAATTTTAAAAATTAATAATATTTAAATTCACATAAAAAAATATTACCAGTTTGAGTTTGGGAAAAGTTGTGCAGCCAATTTCGAGTAGTAACAAGTGTTTGGACATTTTCATAATAAATGCAACTTCTCTACTTTGTAAGAACACGCCACAAATGCTAAATGTTGATTCCGATGCTTCAATGGTAATAGGAATACTAAGTACATCACGCACTATCATTGAAAGATCGAGATATTTTCTAGAATGGTCCTTCCAATACATGACAACATCCATCTCTTGAAACTTCTCAAGATCAAGTTTTGGTTCCTCTTAGTAAAGATCCAATTCCGAATTTCCATCTTCAGAGGCAGTATACTTTTTATTTTTATATATTTTGAATAAATATTTTATTAGGCTCACGGGCCAGCCCAACCCAGCCTCAGTCAAGCCTCGCGGGCCACGGGCTTACTCGGGCCGGGCTTAAAAGTCTCATTTTTAAATGGGCTCCAAAAATTCTAGCTCAACTCTGCTAAATCACGGGCTGAGCTGGGCTGGCTCAACGGACCAAGCCCATATTGACGGCTCTACTAGTGGCTATTGCCATTCGGATCTACTAATGTTTGATGTGTCCTTTGTCTTTTATTCCTTCTATCCCATTTTTTCGCTTTTTCAAATTCAAATTTCTTAATTTTGACAGACATTTGGATATAGAATCTTTTAGTTTTTGGAAATAAATTTATATATTTAGAAACTAAGTTAAAAATATTATAAGTACAATAACAAATAATTTAAAATATTAAGAGGCATATGAAAAAAATTACGATCAAAATATAATTTGTTTGGTTCTCGAAATTTAATCACCGCCAAACAGTCTAATATGATGCAAAGAAAAGTAAGTATAAAGTTAAATTATTTCTAAAGAAGGAATTATGACATTTTTTTTTTGGGAACAATTTTTTGAAAAACAGTATGTCATATAAATTGGGACAAAGGAGCAGTTTATTCTGATCTGTTGCTTAAACATACATTTTAATTAAAATAACATTGTGAATATAATGCAGAGTGGAGCAGAAAAATTGAAGGTGGTAGGAAGCCTGCTACTAACTGGATTGAGCTGGTTCTTCTTCTTCTAGAGAGACTGCAGCTTAGCTTCTTTTACACATTACATTTTGTCCAAATTTGATCCTATTGAATACATGTAACTTTTTTTTTTTTTTTTTAGTTCTGGTTCTTTAAGTCACGGAGTTCCTCTTTGAGATCCATTTTGGGATTTGCCCCCACATTGGACTCTCCTCTTCATTTCCCATTTTCTCTTTGGATAAATTTCATTTGTTTATTTATCATATTCTTATGTTCCAAGTTTACTTTTCCCCCTAGACAACTTGATCTTGATTAAATGATTATGAGTATATTGATTGGTGTAAATTTGAAACATTAGTTACTTCCTCCGGTCCATGATTATTGGCCTTTTATTTTGGTCTAAAATAAATATCTTTTACATAATCAAGAAACAATTAATTTTATTTTTTCCAAATTTGTCCTTATCTACATATCCCAATGTGTCAAGTTAACAATTAACTAAGAGTAATTTAGTGAATAGTCTTTTTTTCCCTAGGAGTTTGTATTTTTTTTTTAAAGGGTATGCCAAAGGTTAAAAAATCACTCATTATGAACCCCGGGAGTAACCGGTTACATGTAAATACACGAGTTTAATCGAACCAGACTCTTAAACTTGGGAATACGATTGTTAAGCTTCCCAAGGAACATTTTTAACATTACAATATTCACCCCGTCTTTAATTTTTTAGCTACATGATTAAAATCTCAAAAGGTATACACGGTCTAACATGTCCAATTCAAACCATTTCATTAACTACTTCAATATGTCGAATATTTCACCACCTACCTCAATGCAAAAATCTATTCAAGCAGAGTAATTTTTTTCACTAGTTAAGACGTTAAAGTATTTTACATCTTAACTGCTAAAGGTATATATGTGGTGAAACTTGCTACCTAATTTCCAAGCAAGTATGAAACGGTTATGCTCTTGCTTTGTACAATAGATAAAATGAAAACAACACCAAAAAGACAAGGTCATTATATAAATGGAAAGGGCATAATCAGCAAAAATAAGAGTTATAAGATAACAAACAGAAAAGAAAAGAGAGTTCATTACTCAAATGGTCACTCAACTATTCCAAATTATCTTCTAAAATCACTTTTCTTTCGTTTGTAACAACAAAGTCACTGAACTATGCCTATTACACTCAGAAGGTCACTCAGCTAGATTTTCCAAATTTTGGATTGCCAAACACCTATTTTACCCTCTAAACTATAAATATTTATCTTCTTTTTACTTTTTTAAGCTTTTTAATATTATGATTTTTCCCTTTTAAATTTACATTATGGACTTACCAATAGAATGAATAAATATTATTTATAAATTAAAATAATAAAAAGTATTTAAGCATATATAATGCTGGAATAACAAAATAATGAGCATAGTAAAAAAATTAATTAGAATAATTTGATTGTAATAATAATTTTAGATTAACAACAAAAATTCAAAAATTTATTTACACAAATCAGAATGAAAAAAAATAAAGGTTGTAAAATATATATTCCATGCACGTAATATAAACATAATTATTTAAATAAAGATATTTTTGTAATATACATTATATATTCTTGAAAATTATGCTCAATTATATTATATATATTCGATGCACGACTTAATATAGCATATTTTACCCTAATATAGATAGTCCACCTGCATTCCGGTGACATAACTTTGTGTCGTCGGAAAGTTGGTAGAAACATAATAATATAATTGAGCATAATTTTCAAGAATATATAATGTATATTATAAATATACTTTTATTTAAATAATTATTTTTATATTACGTGCATGAAATATATATTTTACAACCTTTATTTTCTTTCATTCTGAATTGTGTAAATAAATTTTTGAATTTTTGTTGTTAATACTAAAAAGTTTTAAAAAAAAATAAAAAGAAGATAAATGTTTATAATTTAGAGGTAAATAGGTATTTGGCAATCCAAAATTTGGAAAATCTAGTTGAGTGACCTTCTAAGTGCAATAGGCATAGTTCAGTGACTTTGTTGTTACAAACAAAAGAAAAGTGACTTTAGAAGATAATTTGGGATAGTTAAGTGACCATTTGAGTAATTGACTCTAGAAAAGATGGTCCAATATGCTATTCTGTTCAGTCCAACAGTATTTGGATTTCATATAAACTTATCAGTGTTTCGGGGGCTTGCAGCAAGCTTTGTAAGAAAAAATAATGATTGAAAAGGTTTGAGGCGTGAGAACGACTTTCCTTAAAGAAGTTATTGCCCGTATAGAGCAAAAGTCAGGCCTTTTTCGAAAAGTCACTTTATTCTATAAACAGATGTGTTCGTTTATTTGAATTTTAAATTCAAGTATTTGCACATACATCTAATAATGTGGATTCTTAAGCAAATATAAAAAATGGACAAAAACTTAAAAAGCGATAAAGTGGCTTTAGGCCACCGATATGGGAAAATCCCACATTCCCCACATTATAACAAACTACTTCTTAGAAACTTGTAGTGAAATACATCAACAGAATAAGAACTGGTGCAAAAGGGTATTAAATAGACAGAAGAACATTAAGCCACTCATTGATAACATTTAACGATTTCTCAGAGGTATGAAAAGTAAGGGCGACAATCAGAGTTGGGATAACATTTTTAAAAGGTAAAGGATAATTATATTACTCATAATAATAACTAAACCCATGATATTGTCCTAAGGGACGTGTCTCATAGGGCCATCATGGTTACATACTTGTTCTATGCCACTCAGGGCATTGTCGTTTCCAAGTGATGCCAAAATATTACATGCCAATAAAGTACATTCCCTAACATTATTCCTACCCTCCTTGTCCTTGTAGTACATATTTTCCACAAAATTAGGAGGTTCCCTAAGAAAACTAGTTATATTATATGTAGGCTGAAGTAAAGCTTCCTTAGCCAAGAGGTGTGCCACCTTGTTTCCTTCACGAAAATTATGCTTCATTCTCGTCTCCCCCCTCTCTATTGGCTTCTCCATTAAGTACCTGCATTCATCAAGCAAACTTTTCTAAGTAGGGTAGTCTTCTTCTAGAAAACGTATTACCTCCGTAGCATATGTCTCTATTTCACATGGTATGAAATTTCCCTGCATGGTTATGTGCAAAGCTTGCCGAAAAGCTAGTAGCTCTGAATGTACTAGCAGAGGCGGATCCAGGATTTTAAGTTTATGGGTTCCTGTCGCAATTTCAAATTAATATACAATAATAAACTGAGTTCACAAATAGATATTTATAGATATTTAATAATTTTTTTAACAAAAATACAGGGTCTACGCAAAAGTTACTGGGTTCCCGAAAATCCGTATCTTACACCCTAGATCCGCCCCTGTGTATTGGTGAGGTACTTTCCACTTTGCATTGAACCCCACTATCCAATCTCCATTATTATTGCGTATGACACCACTAATGCCTCCATGCATGTTTTCTTCATTGAAAGCACCATCAATGTTAATTTTGTACCAATCATTAGGAGGTGGATGCCATTTTATCTTTACTTTGATAGAGGAGTTAACATTGGGTTTCGTAGTAGCTAATAACTGGTATTCCAGTACTAGCTTAAAAACTTTGCTAGTGTTTATTTTTTTAGCAGTGTTCTTGGTATTATTTTCATTCCTAGTATTCCATATAGACCATAAAACAAATGGAAAGGCGGCTTTCCAGTTGGTAAGGCTGTTTTGAGCTTTAGGGGATTTGTCCATTAGGAATTCTACCCAATGTTCTTGAGGCCGAGGGGAGTTAAAGGAACGCCTATAGATGCCCAAAATATTTTTGCCACTTTGCATTCCCAAAATATGTGTAGTAGGGATTCATTGGTTTTACAAATAGGGCAATTTGTATCAATATTGACACCTATTTTCCCTAGGTATTCTCTAGTAGGTAGCCTGGAGTGACAACATTTCCATATAAAAAATTTAATTTTCCTAGGGCACTCTAACTTCCATATCCAATCAAAATTGTAGCCCGTGTAGTTTTGTTTGTCAGAGATATTATTATCAATAAGTTTATAACAAGAAGAGGTTGTGAATATACCACTAGTGTTTATAGACCAAACAATTGTGCTATCTTGATTGTTGGATGTGGTTAGAGAGTGGATGCTATTAAGGATATTGATGGGGAGATTAAAAGAAATTTGAGACATATCCCATGCATTTTGGTTCTTTATGTCTTTAAGAGTAAGCTCACTTTCCTTTTTATTGAGGGGGCCTATTACATTCTTTCTTAGTGATCCAAACTTAGGGATCCAGTTTGTGTCCCAAATGGACATGTTGGGATTTTTATCCACTGGCCATCGAATGCCCTCTCTACAATAGTTCCAACCTTTTAAGAGGCTTTTCCAAGTGTGAGAGGCCTTATTTGTCGATTTTGTTTGATTGTAACAACTGCTAATAACACGTACCCAAGTAGAGGAGTGGTTATTTAGGAGCCTCCACACTAGACTTGTTAGTAGGGATAGGTTCTTGTTCTTAGCTTTTCTGATTCACAATCCCCCCATCTCTTTGGGCATTGTTACCTTATCCCAATTTATTAAGTGAATCTTCTTTTTTTCAGTAGTAGTACCCTATAGGAAATACCTTTGAATTTTGTCAATTTCTTGGAGGGTTCTACTAGGGAGCATTGATAACTGCCTTTGGTGGTTAGGGATTGTGTTAAGAGTGGATCTAATAAGGGTACACCTTCCTGCTATATTGAGCCAATTGGCATTCCAAACGTTTAGCCTGGCCCTCATTTTCTCTATTAGAGGTAAATAGTCCTTATGCTTAGGAGGGGTGCCACTCATTGTGAAACCTAGGTAGCTACCAAAGTCCTTACTGACCTTAATCTCCAACAAGGAAGTGATCCAATTACACATGTCCTTTGTGCAATTCTTAGATAGAAGTAATTTAGACTTTTCTTTGTTGATGTTTAGGCCAGATAAATGGCAAAAGATATCCAGGTTCTTTTTCATGGTAGTAATTGTATTCTTATTAGATCTACCCATTAATGTTAGATCATCAGCAAAAAATAAATGGGATAGGGGGGGAGGGGGCTTTGCCTATTTATTAGTATTGGATCCTATCGAAGAGTGTCAACTTGATGTTCAATATTTTTGGATAGCATATCCATACATAAAATAAAAATGTAGGGTGACATTGGGTCCCCTTGCCTGATACCCCTTGAAGGGCAGAAATCCTTAGTCTTATTGCCATTAACAAGGATTGAGATAGACGTAGAAGAAATACAACTCAGAATTAGAGAGAAAATATTAGGAGGAAAATTATGGAACCTTAGGGCTTGATAAACAAATGACCATTCCA